ACAAACGGCTACCCCCCAGATTGCCGCTCCCAGTCCGACCTCCCGTATGTCTCAGGCAATAGCTCTTTTCCCACCTTTCTGCTGCTGTTAGCTGCACCCTACTAGAGCACTGGGCATCCCCACGCAGTGCCATCGCGTACTTCTCCCCCCGCTCTTGGCAGTGGGCGGCTTACGGCTACCCCCCCGTTTGCCGCTCCAGGCTGATCACCAGTATGTCTCAGGCATGAACATTTTCTCCCACATTCCTGCGGCTGCTGGCTGCGCCCTGCCACAACACCGTTTTTTCTCATGCGCTGCATTGGCGTGCTACTTCACACTTCCTGAGGCTGTCAGCCGCCCCCCCCCAGTAAGCTGCAGGTCTCAGGCGGCGCAACCCCCTGCCCTGAGGCTGCTTGCCCAGCGGGCCTGAGCTGGTCACCCCGCCCGGCTGGCCCGGTCGCTCCTCGTCGCCATCGGTGTGTGTGCCCCCATCGTCTGCCGTGTTTTCGAGTCGTGCCGCACGCTGCCTTTGGTCGGGCTCGCTCCCTCTTGCTCCCCCCGTGGCTCGCTGATGGCGGCGACCTTGCGGCTAGACTACACGGCCCTGGCGACGGCCTGGGTGATGGATGTTTGCGTGCTCTACGCTTACGCTCTTCTCGTGCCAGTGGCCACTCTGTGACATCTCAGTGTGTGCATTGGGTTGGGTACGCCGCTCTTTACTACAAGTTCTGGCTCTTCGGCAAGGGGCGTTCGCCTACTACTTGGCCTGAGCTTGAGCTGCGGCTTGCTTCCTTTATGTTGTCCCGTCTTCTCCTTCTCTTTCTCTTTGTTCTTGTTTTCTCCTTCTCTTTCTCTTTTTTCTTCCGCTCCTCCGTTCCGTCCTCGCCGCTTCTTCGCTGCTGTCTGGCTCCGTTCTGCATTGTAGCTGTCGCCATCGCCGTGGCCTTTTCCAGTGCCTGTTTGCGACAGCAGGGCTTGCGCTTCTCTATCGACTCTGTTCTGACGGCGCGCGGCTGACCGCGTCGCTCGCGAGCAATAAAGTAACCCCATCAGTTTCGGCCCGCCACGTCTAGTCTCACCTCCTGCTGTTCTCTTGTTGTCTCTATGTTTCTCTCTCTCACTCTCGTGTGCAATTTAGGCTCCTGCTTGTTAGCTGTAGCTTGGACGGCGCGCGGCCCTTCCGTTTGCGCTCGCGAAAACAAACATCCGCCCAGCCAGAAACGATTCCCGGGCGAATTGCCATGATCACGCATGTGGTGGGGCACGCAATGGAGTAAAGGTCGGGAAGCCGTCGTGTCCTCGAAGGGGGGAGGATCGACGAGGAACCAGAGGAGGAGGAGGAGGAGGAGGAGGAGGAGGAGGAGGAGGAGGAGGAGGAGGAGGAGGAGGAGGAGGAGGAGAGGAGGAGGAGGAGGAGAGGAGGGGAGGAGAGGGGGAGGGAGGGGAGGGGGAGGAGAGGAGGAGGAGAGGAGGAGAAGGAGGAGGAGGAGGAGGAGGAGGGGGAGGAGGAGGAGGAGGAGGAGGAGGAGGAGGAGGAGGAGGAGGAGGAGGAGGAGGAGGAGCGAGGAGGAGGAGGAGGAGGAGGAGGAGGAGGAGGAGGAGGAGAGAGGAGGAGGAGGAGGAGGAGGAGGAGGAGGAGGGAGGAGGAGGAGGCGGAGGGGGAGGACGGAGGAGAGAGACAGGAGGAAGGATAAGGATGATTCGGCGAATGGGGAGGAGGAGGAGAAGGAGGAGGAGGAGGAGGAGGAGGAGGAGGAGGAGGAGGAGGGCGACATGGAAGGCCACAGGCCTCCTGGATGCTTCTCGGAGTCTCGTCGGATGTCTCTCGCGAGTTTCTTGTAGGCCTGTTGGGGCGTCTCGGGATGCCCTTGGCGGCCCCGGGGGCATCTTGAAGCATTGTGGGTTCTCGTGGGGGCCTCTTGGGGCCTCGTGGGGGTCTCTCGGGGGTATTTTGGGGGCCTCTTGGGGGCTCCTTGGGGGCCTCTTGGGGCCTCCTGGGCACCTCTTGGGGCCGTCTTGGGGCGCCTACCTTTAGAACCTCGGACCTCGGGGGCCATCTTGGGGGGCATCTTGGAGGCGTTCGATCAAAGAGGAAGAGTTCCTCAATTACTTAGCACACACACACACTGAGGAGGCCAAACTGGGCCCAACATTTTAGTACGATTGGATGGTATTGATCGTCTCGTCGAGGCCATAAGCGACCCTCTGACACATTGCGCGCCGCCCCCCCTCCAGACCCAGGTGTGGGTGGGCAGGGGGAGGGGTCAAGACACCCTCTCAGCCCGCACGCCGCCTCGTTCACTCCCACTCGCCCCCCCCCCAATATTCCAGGTACACCAGGCACCCTGGAAGCTCAGGCGTGGCAGCGCGAGCAGCAAAGCGTCTCTGTCAAAAACCGATGCAAAGTGGTCGCTGGGCGCCTGCGGGTGCCCCAGAATTGGAGGCAACGTGTATGCTGTATTGTTCTGTTGGCTGGGATGGTTGGCCTACGCGCAGCAAGCAATGTGCTGGCCTCCGCCGCCCTTGTCAACAAACCAAGGCGAAGTTGTCGTCCGCGCGTGCTCCAGATTTTGGGCAAAGTGCATGTTGTATGGTCTTTGTTTACCAGGGATGGCGGGGTAGTTTCAGGGGTCTGGGTTGGCTGCTGGTCACCTGTGGGAGGGGTTGTTTATGTATGAAACAAGGGAACAGTGATAAACCCTTCCCCGAAGAGGGAGAAGGGGGGTGGAAGAGGAAACCCGCTAAACCGCTCACGCCCTAAATGGCTGCTGGTGGAATTAGCTTTGCCCCCCAGCAAGCACAGCACAAATGATAAATAAGTGTTTGCTGCCTTCTCGCTGATGTCGTCTCTGACGCTCCAACGCCTCGCGCCCCCCCCTCCGTCCAGACCCACGGGGAAAGGGTAGGGGGAAGGGTCAAGCTACCCACCCGCCCGCAAGCCGTCTAGCTCACTCCCACCCGCCCTCCCAACACATGAGTAACACCCAGGCCTGAGCATGTTCAGCGGTCGTCTTTGGATGTGCAGCTACAACGAACCCAAGCCGACTCCAGGTGCGCGACGCTTGGGCGAGGTGCGCCACGCGTGCCAGGGGCGCCACGCGCGCCAGGCACCCCTGGGGCCCGAGCGTGCCAGGCACGCTTGGTGCGCGAGATGCGCCACGTGCTCAGAGTGCGCCAGGTGTGCCGCGCACTCCAGCCGCTCCAGGTGCGCCACGTTCGGGGCACGTGCAGAGTGCGTCAGGTGCGCCTGCGCACGTGACAGCGCACATCGGGAAGCATGTCGGCCCCCGCCATCCTTGTCGAAAACCAATGCCCATGATTGTGTCTGGTGGGCCTGCACACAGCAGGCCACGCGCCACCAACCCCGGCCGTCCTTGTCAAAAACCACTTTACAGTGATCGCGCGATGGCCGCGCATGATCCAAATTCAGCCGCGAGGTGCATGTTGTAATGTTTGTTGTCAGGGATAGTAGCCCTGCGCACAGCAGGGAATATGCTGACACCCCCGCCGTCCCGGTCAAAACCTATACAAAGCGCCCGCGGGCCTCACGAACACGACTCAAGACGTTGCCCCAAAGTGTATTTTGCATTTTTTTTGACAGGGATGGGGGGGGGGTCGCATCGGGTTGGCCGCGCATGTTCTAAATGTGGAGGCAGGGTGCGGTCTGTATATTTTTTTGAAGGGGATGGTGGGGGGCGGGCCCGCATGGAGTCGGCATGGTTCCGGGTTGGCCGCCGTCTGGTTGGGGGAGGGGGTGTACGTTCATAAAGAATAGTGATTAAGACACCTTCTAGATAGCAAGCCGTCTAGCTCACTCCCACCCGCCATCCTAACACATGAGTAACACCCAGGCCTGAGCATGTTCAGCGGTCGTCTTTGGAAATACAGCTACATGGAACCTAAGCCGACTCCAGGTGCGCGACGCTTGGGTGAGGTGCGCCACGCTTGCCAGGGGCGCCACGCGCGCCAGGCACCCCTGGGGCCCGAGCGTGCCAGGCACGCCTGGTGCGCGAGATGCGCCACGTGCTCAGAGTGCGCCAGTGTGCCGCGCACTCCACCCGCTCCAGGTGCGCCACGTTCGGGGCACGTGCAGAGTGCGTCAGGTGCGCCTGCGCACGTGACAGCGCACATCGGGAAACGTGTCGGCCACAACTCCAACCGTCCTTGTCGAAAACCAATGCCCATGATTGTGTCTGATGGGTTCGCGCACAGCAGGCCACGCGCCACAACCCCGGCAGTCCCTGTCGAAAACCACTTGGCAGTGATCGCGGGGTGGCCGCGCATGATCCAGAATTAGCCGCGAGGTGCATGCTGTATTGTTTGTTGTTAGGGATGGTAGCCCTGCGCGCAGCATGCAATATGTTGACACCCCCGCCGTCCTTGTCAAAAACAATAAACTGCGCTCCCGGCCTCACGAATGTGACTCAAGTTTTGGCCCCAAAGTATACTTTGTATGGTTTTTGACAGGGATGGTGGGGCGGGGGGTGGTGCCGCATCGGGCTGGCCGCGCATGCTCCGCATGAGGAGGCAGGGTGCGTTTTGTATTGGTGTTTGATCGGGATGGTGTGGGGGGCGTGCGCATGGCTCCTGGTTGGCTGCCAGTCGCCTGGGGAAGATGGTGTACATGTATAGGGAACAGTGATCTAGCTACCCCACGCAGCAAGACGTGTCGCTCACTCCCACCCGCCTTCCCGCAACATAAGTAGCACCCGAGTCTCAGCACGGTCAGGGTCCGCCATCGACAAACATCGGGAATCAATGCAGATGCCAGCCAGGTGCGCAACGTCCGCGACGTGCGCCGCACGTGCCTGGTACGCCACGCGCACCAGGTGCGCCACATTGGGCAATATGTCGGCCGCCCCACCATCCTCGCTGAACACCAGTGCAAAATGACGGAGGGTTTGAGAGGATTGTGTATTGTGTGTGTGGGTGTGTACCCACTATCAATTCGCATGTGTTTCTGACAGGGATATGAGGCCTGCGCACAGCAGTCAGTATCCCGCCCCACCCGCCGTGTCCATAGCCATTCTGGCTCAAGGCATTTTTTCGGCCCCCCAGCGACCTTTTTGTGTTTTCCCCCGCGGGCTGGAGCGAGATCTCCCCGACGCCCCGCATGGTCACGCTCTAAACGCCAGGGGCCGCCAGATCTGATCCTCCCTGGACAGCACGGCTGGATGCTGCCGATCCCGGCGCGAGACCGCGCCGGCCCCGTGGCCCCCGACGCGGCCGCAGGCCTTGGCCTGCCGATCCCGGCGCGAGGCTACCCCGACGAGCAGCCGCTGCCCAAGAGGGCCTGTCTCGGCCTGCCCATCGCGGCGCGCGGGGAGCCCGCGCCGGCCGCGGACCGCGGCCGGCCAGCACAGGCGCGCGGCGAGCCCGCGCAGGGCGCAGGGCTCGGCCTGCCGCTCGCGGCGCGCGGGGGGCCCGCGGCGGGCGGGGGCCTCGGCCTGCCCACGCGGGGGCACGGGGAGCTCGGACCGGGGGCGGTCGCGAACCACCCCGACGTGTCGATGCGCACGGGCGGCGGCCAGGCAGGGGCGCCGAGGCGCCAGGTTCTCGAGCAGTGGCGAAGCGTCCTGGCCTGCCCGCCCAGGGCCTAGAGTCCCACCAAGGAATGCTCTAAGAACCTTGTTTGTGGTCTGCACGGGAGGTTCTCAGAACATTGTGGTTGGTTGAGACTTGCTTGCTTTAACGCATCGGGTTTGTGCTCCAAGAGCACCACTCGCATTCTTGGAACATGTTTGGGTTCTCAGAGTGTTTCGCGGCAGGCCTACAGGAATGCTGGGACGGTCGGCCCCTGCTCAAGGTTCGCCGGCGGACGGCCACGGAGCAGGACCGTTGCCCCCTGGAGGCCCCCAGCGAGCACGCGGCGGCGTCCTTCGGGCGCAGCAGGACCATGCTGATCGGCGGGCGCGGCAGCGCCAGCGGGCGGGCGCGCCGGCTCGAGAGCCGGAGGTCGCTGGGCGAGGGTGTGCTGCAGGGCGCGCACTTCAGCGCGATCATCGGCACGCACGGCGAGGAGGTGCCCATCGCCAAGCGCTACACGTTCGGCCGGATGCTGGGCGAGGGCGCGTCGGGCTCCACCTGGGAGGCCTGGCCCACGGACGCACAGGGGAAGGCCTCGCCGCAGCACTCGGGCAGCAAGGGCCACCGCGCCATCAAGAAGCTGACCAAGTACGGGGCGTCCGCGCAGGAGCGGGAGGCGTGCCGCCAGGAGGTCGAGTTGCTCAAAGAGCTCGACCACCCCAACATCTGCAAGCTGTACGAGGTGTTCGAGGACGCGGCCGCGCTCTACATGGTCATGGACATGTGCGAGGGCGGGGAGCTCTTCGACCGCATCGTCGACGAGGAGCTGCACGGCGAGGCGCAGGCCGCGGACCTCTTTCGCCAGATCGCGGGGGCCCTGCGCTACTGCCACGAGACGCACGGGATCATGCACAGGGACATCAAGCCCGAGAACGTGCTCTTCACGACCAAAGAGGAGAAGAGCCCGGTCAAGCTGATAGACTTTGGCATCGCGTGCTTCACGAGGGACGCCCTGCAAAATCGGCAGGCGGGCACCGAGGCCTACGAGGCGCCCGAGGTTCTGCTCCGGCAGGACTACAGCGAGAAGTGCGACCTCTGGTCCCTGGGCGCGCTGCTGTTCGTGATCCTGACTGGCCGCCTGCCGTTCCAGTCTGTGGAGCACGCCCAGCGCGGGGCCATCCGCTTTGAGGACGCGGACCAGGTGTCGCCGTCAGCCAGGGACCTCACCGCGAGGCTTCTGGCGGTCGACCCTGCTGGGCGGCCTTCTGCGGCCGAGGTCTTGGACCACCCCTGGGTTGCGGAGGCAAGACACAAGGTCGAATCGCTGGGATCGTCAGTGTTCGCGCGCCTGAAGAGCTTCAAGCAGACAACCGCGCTGCGCAAGATTCTGCTCATGGTCCTCTCTCGCCAACTCACCGACGTGGACCTTCCCGAGACGTATGAGGCGTTCCAGCAGATGGACACGAACGGGGACGGAAAGCTGAGCCACTCCGAGATTCGCGCCGCTCTGGGCTCCAGGATGTCTGCCGAGGAGGTCGACCAGGCCATTCAGGCGATGGATGTTGACGGCAGTGGGAACGTCGAGTACAGCGAGTTCTTGGCCGCGGCCTTCGACCGGAAGCTGCTGTTCCGCCAGGACTTGTGCTTGCAGGTCTTTCGCGCTCTTGACAAGGAGGGGGCAGGGGTGATCTCCATCGAGGGTCTGATGCAGATGATGGACGGCGTGGTGGACTGCCCACACCGCGGCGCCGTGTGTGCGCGTCTGCAGACGGAGGCCAAGGAGCTGCTGGAGTGCTTCGACGCCGACGGCGATGGCGTCCTCGACTTCGCCGAGTTCACGAACCTGCTCACCAGGAACAGCTTCTCCGGCGCCGCCTGCGCCGTGGACTTCGACGGCCTCGCCGACCTGGGCGGCGGCGCGGGCGAGAATTCGAAGCGGGCCTCAAAGGCCTCGCGGGCCAGCAGCGCTGGCCCGGGCGACGATGCCCCCGAGGCCGGGCGGGCCTCCAACGCCTCGCGGCCCTCGCGGGGCAGCAGCGCCGGCAAGGTCTCCGCCCACGCCGCCGACGACGGTCCAGCCGACTCGGCCAGCTGCCCCGGCGAGGCCCTGCACGAGGTCTCCGCCCCGCTGCGGGCGACGAGGTGGGTGAGGGCCCGTCTCAGCACGGGCTGGATGAGCCTACGCCCCAGCACGAGCCAGGGCCCGGATGAGGCCCTGGGAGCACGAGCGAGGCCAGAGAGGCCGTCGAGGGGCGCCCGCTCCGCCCGCCGCCCGTCCAGCACGGGGGAGGCGGGGCTCCTCTCGTGCATCGCGGGCCTCTGCCCGCCCGAGCCGCGCCGGGGCCCCTCCTAGCGCAGCCGCGCCGTGCCACGGGCACAGAGGCGGCCGCGGGCCCCGGGCAGCGCGAGGAAGAAAACACGCCCCGCTCGCCGTCACTGGCACAGTCGTTAACCAATCACTGGCTCGATGTTTTGTTGTTCCTGTCGTGAACCAATGCAGTGCGACGTGATCCCGGGGCGTCCGCGCATGATCCAGTTTGTGGTGCAGAGGTCAGTTTGCAGGTGCTGTTTTTGCCAGGGGTGGCGGGGTTGTGGGTAGTAGGGTCCCGGATCTGTCGACGGTCGGGTGGGAAAGGGGGTGTATCTGAACAAGGAACAGAGCTCAAGTTGCCAGCGAAGGTGCCGCAAGCTGTCTCGCTCACTCCCCCACGCCCTCCCACCAGACAAGCAGCACCCGAGCCTCAGCATATGCAGGGTCCTCCCCATCGACAACCATGGGGCACCAATGCAGACGCAGGCCAGGTGCGCGAAGCCCTTGAGGTGCGCCGCACATGTCAGATTGGCCACGCGCACCAGGTGCGCCACATTGGGCAATACGTCTACATGCGAAATAACGGCGGGTTTTCCAGCACTGTGTATTGTGTGTGTTTATGTGTGTGTGTGTGTGTGTGAGTGTGTGTTGGGGGGGGCGCATTCACTTCGCAGGTGCTTTTGAGAGGGACAGTCGGCCTGCGCACAGCAGGCAGTATGCCGCCCCACTCGCCGTCCCTGGCTCACATCAGCCCAGCGGACTGGTGGGACGACAAACGTGAGAGGGGAAGGGGGGGGGCGCAGGAGGGGGGGGAAGGGGAGACGACGACGGGGAGGGAAGGGAACACCACGGGAACGGGGGAATGAGGGGAGGGGCGAGGGAAGACGGCATGTGGAAGGGGGGAGGGCGCGACGGGGGACAGGGCAGAGGGCGTGGGGGGGAGAAGGCACACGGGAGGGAGAGGAGGAGGGAAGGCGGATGGGGGGCAGGGAGGGGGGGGAGGAGGGAAGGGAGGGGGAGGAGACAAGCTAGGTGCGCTCGCGTCATATCTGACGTTCTACCCCTCCTGGCGTATATATATATACATATATATATATATATATACACATACATACAAGGCTGCAGTGGCGCTTCGCGCCATGCACCTTGGTCCTTGAAGTTTGGCATGCAGGCGAAATGGCAGGAAGGTCAAGCCGACATTTTAGCGATAACTCCTTGTTGCCTTTTCCAGCATCGCCGCTAAAATTATGTTATTCGTTATCCTTCCTCCATGCTTCTTTTTCCTCGTTCTCGCCATACCCTGCGCATTTTCCCCATCCTCTTCAGCTCTTTGTGCGGAGGCTCCTCCTTGGAGAGCCTCTGGGGACCTCACACAAGTTTCAGGCTTTCTTAAGGCCTTCTGGAGGCCTCCTGGGCGTGTTCTGGAGGTTCTGGGGGCTTCCTCGGGCTACCCTGCCTCCAACCGCGGTCTCCCTGAACGACCAGGTCACGATTTGGAATGCTTCGGAGGGTGTCTTGGGGCCTTCTTGGGCCGCCATGGGGCTCTCTTAGGACCATCTTTGACCCCTGTTGAGCCGTTTTGGGGCTCTCTTGGACTGCCTGGAAGCCCTTTCGGATGGTTGTGGGGCGATTTTGGGGCCTCCCAGGCGGCTTCGGACGCCCAGAAGGCTGCCGTATTGGAGCGTCGGGAAGCCGAAAAGAGGAGAACCCCCAAATTCAGCAGAAACCCGCAGAAATTCAATGATGTTTGCCTCTTGGGGCCTTCTTGGGAGTGCTCTTGGAGGTTTTTTGAGGCGTTTGGGGCCGTCCTGGAGGCCTCTTGGGCCATCTTGAGGTCACGTCGGTCACTCTTGGAGCGCTTTTGTGCTGTCTTGGGGGTCTCTGGGACGTCTCCGATGACCCCCCTGATCGCCCTAGGTGTGCTGGGAAGGCTTGGCAAAACGCCCTGCGAGGCCCGGGGCGCCGCTTCGAGGCCCATCCGGAGGGTCCCAAACCCCCAGATCCGGGAGTCCGTTTTTTTTTGGGGTGGGTCCCCCGCCCGGGCTTATACAAATATAGGAAGAGGAATTAATCTTTTCGGTTCGCACAGTCGGATGTCGAGCAGGGCAATGATCGCGAGAGGGTACGCGATGCATGGTAGAGCACGGCATGGCGTGGCGTAGATGCGCACGGCAGAGCGTAGCATGCCATAGCATGGCGTGGCATTGCGCAGTGAAGCACTGCATCACAAGCATTGCTAAGCAAGGCATGGCATCGCACAGCGGCGCAGAACACACCGCACAGCATGTCATGGCATGGCGCCGGGCTCTTTGGAGGGTAAGTGGGTCGTCTTCGAGAGGTCTTGGCCGATCTGGAGTTGTGGCCCCATGTCTAGCTTCCTGGGCTCCCCGAAAAGCTCCACACACGCGGGGGCTGATGGAGAGCACCCGCTGGCTCGGCTGTCAACATCGCCTGATCAAAACAGAAACCGGGCTCCCGCTTGATAATTCCTGACAACGGCGACGCCCCAAAGTGGGGGGGGGGGCCTCTGCGGCCCCAAAGATCAACGAATCGACACCGAATGTGTAATCACTTCCGATGTTTTTTTTTCTGGTATTTCTTTTGTGTAGTTTAGGGCCTATTTAGAAGGACCAAAAACGGCCGCGCTGCAGCGGGAGCACAATTCAGAACAACCAGAGGCGCAGGGCAGCGCTTCAAAGGGAGCAGCATTTTGAAGACAAATCCAAGCGGAAACCCATTTCCTGCGAATCATGTGTGTCAGAACAACCGTGCGCGGAGGGACGCCGGACATCGCCCGGACGTCATCAGGGGGAGAGAGGAGAGTAGTACGCATATGGTGTAATTGTGGAGGGACACGTTGAGGAGGAGGGGAGGATCTGGCCGCCCGAAATGGGTACGGAACGAACGGGTACAATGCCCAACAGCAGTTCTTGTTCATTTTGAACAGGACTCGCTGTCCACGCCGCCGCGGCCTGTGTCCATTCGAGACAGAAGGCCGCCTGCCCAACAGCGACCGCTGTTGGTTTGGGACAACATTTGTTGTTGGGCATTGTGCCCATTCTTTCCGTGCCCATTTTGGGCGTTCAAAGAGGAGGGCGGGAGGAGGGAGGCACACGGGCAAGGGGGGAGGAGGGAAGGCACACGGGAGCGAGGGAAGGGGAGGCCGGAGGGGTACCAGGCAGAGACACACCGGCCGCAGCGCCTCGGCCGGCCGTGGCGCGGGGCCTCTGCGGCGTGTCGGCCCTCGTTTCGGCACCTTGGAGGGGGTGCGTACGGGCCCAGCACGAGGCTGCTGCGCAAGGCCCCGAGCCACGTCGGGCAGTCTGGGAGGTCCTTCTCAGCCAGGGGGAGGGCGGAGGATACAGTCCACCCGCAAAGGAAGGATGGGCAGCCTTCCCACATGTACCCTTGCATCCTTGCCTCCTTGCCTCCGCGGTCCATCCTTGGCCACGTCCGTTGGCCGCGCCCCGCTCGAAGAGCTTCGAATTGGGCGTGCAAGGCCTTTACATCCTGATCGCGCATCCTTCTGATGCGGGCCGGCTGTCGTGGGGTTGCAGCTTCAGTCGGGGAAGGGGACGTGACACGTCTGAGCTGGACAGAGAGGATCACCGCCCACCAAACCACCCCAACCCAACCCAACCCGAATACCCTGATGTGCCCTTTATTTCCAGTGGGGGCGGGGTCGGGGAACATTGACAAAAACACGTGTGGAACCAATACCCCCCCAGCCCGCAATTCGGGTCTTCGGGTTAGGCTGGGGTGGCCTGGTGGGCAGTCAGGAGATGGGGGAAGGGGGGCAGGGAGGGGACGGCGGCTGCCCCAAACTCGGAGGGCGCCCGGGCCAGACAGCTCAGACCCTGGGCGGCCCCGCGCCTCCTGGTGTTACGGGGTCGATGCCACGCCCGCGCGCGTGCAGCGTGTCTGGGCCGGTGAGGGGCCACGGGGCGAGCCGTTGGCTGATGCGTGAAATGAGCCGTGGTGGCACGTGCTGCATTTGATTAATGCCCTTCTTGATCGTCGGGGGACCATGGTCAAGCGTGTGTAGCTTTGGTCTTGCCATTCGTGCTGTTTTGGCCCACGTTTCGTCCTGCCGTATCATAAGCCCGTTTTCTGGCGTCAGTAGCTGTCATTCCATGTTATGCCGTTTGGATCGATTCGCAGGGGTTGGAGGGGGATGAGGAGGAGAGAACATGATCATGGAGAGAAGAACGCGGAAGGGGAGACGGCGTATAATTTCTCTCTTGGCAGCGGTACGGCCTGTTTGCCGCGCGGCCATGCCTTATTCGCGACTCATCGGTGTACGTCTACATTGCGAGGACTGATGGAGCATTGCTGGCGCAGGGGAGGTTGCACCAGAAGGGCGAGGAGGTGGACGTGGAGGAGGAGGGAGAAGAGCTTGCTCTATCGCTGTACTTTCCCCCCCGGCGAGGCTAAAGAGGCCCAGCCTCGCTGCGGGGGAGCACAGCGATCGAGCAAGCTCGTCTCCCTCCTCCTGCACTTCCACTTCCATCGTGCCGTCGCCAACCTCTCCTCCCCACTCCCTCCTCCTCTTCCCCCCCTCCCTTTTCTGTGCTCCCTCCTCCGTCGCGCTGCGCTTGCGAGCCTGGGGAGGAGCTGCTCCACGCCTGCTGTGCGAGGTCCCACCAGGCGACGCCCTCGGCGCGCGGCCGCGCGTGGGGGACCCTCCCGCAGCCCGCCTCGCGGGGGCCCTCTCCGCAGGAAGAGGGGCGAGCGGACGAGGTCGGGCGTTGCGTACTCAAGGGGAGTGCCCCTGGCCCAAGGCGCCCCCAGCCTTGCGCTCCAGGTTGGAGAGCCTGGGACCCTCTAGGCCTCGCGAGGGGGTGCTCTGGATGCCGCGGGGGCCTCCTTGGACCTCCTGGGCGCACCCTGGGCCAGGGGCACTTGATAGCAGCACCCGGACTTGGGAGGGGGTGACGAAAAGTGCACCTGTCGCGCAGCTCTAGAGGCCCTAGGTGGGGTCCCCTGGGGCCCAACAGGGGCACGAGCGGTGAGCCTTTTTGTTCCCCCACTGCATTTTGCCCCCTCCCCCCCCCCCCCCTGATGCAGCGCCCGCGGAGGGAGGGCATGGCAGGGGCCGGATGGGGCGGGGCCCGGCGGGTGAGTCGAGCTCCTATC